AAACTTGAAAGGCACATTATCCTTAATGTGGAAATATAAAGAAATAATGTAAAAAAGAAGAATAAGGGAACTCTCTTATCATCTTTGGACGTATGGTGACTGAATGTAAAATACAAGTATAGCCGAACCATGTTGTACTCCTAACTTTAAACTTTCAAACTCTTATTTACCTACAAAATAAAAAAAAGTACCTATAAAAAGAACAAACATTAATACGTATAAGGGAAACTAATATGAAACAACAAAATAAGCAAAACAATAAAATAAGCAAACAAAAATAGCGTGAAATATGAATAAAAACAACATAATAAGCATAAAGGAAACAACATGAAAAGTAAAGCTTGGGTTGCCTTTTAAGAAACACTTTATTTAAAGTTAAAAGCTTAGATCAAGAATCAATTAAATGAATCTTATCAACTACACCCATAACTTCATCGCCAAAATAATGCTTCAATCTATGCCTATTTACCTTAAAAGGTACTTTCCTAATCTCATCTATGAACTTAATAGTGGCATAGAGAAAAACCTTAGTCACCATAAATGGACCCAACCATCTTAACTTAAGTTTCTAAGAAAAAGCTTTAATTGAGAATTGAAAAGCAAAACATGTTGACTAGGCTCAAATGTCTGATCCAAAATTCGCTTATCATGCCATTTTTCTTCTTTTCTTTGAATAACCAAGCATTGTCATAAGCATGCAAGCGAAACTCGTCTAGCTCATAGAATTGTAAAAGATGTTTCTCACCCGCTACATCTAGACTAAAATTCAAATTTTTTATAGCCTAAATGCCTTGTGATCAAGCTGAATTGGCAAATAATAAGCTTTACCATAAACTATTTAATAGGGTAACATGCTAATTGGAGACTTGTAAGTGGTTTTATAAGCCCGTTATGCATCATTCAACCTCTTAGACCAATCCATATGACTCGGATTAATGGTTTTCTTAAGAATGGACTTAATTTCCCTATTTTACACTTTTACTTGACCACTACATTGTGGATGATAGGCAAATGCAACTTTATGAGTGATTCCATACATAGCTACAAAAGCACCAAAAATCTTATTACAAAAATGTGAGCCCTTATAACTAATGATCATTCTAAGGGTTTTAAATATAGCAAATATGTTCTTTCTTAAAAAGTTAAGAACCACCTTAGCATCATTAGTAAGTAAAGCTGTCTCTACCCATTTAGACACATAATTTACCGTCATTAAAATGTAATGATTACCATAAAATGAGATAAAAGGGCCCATGAAATATAAGCCCCAAACATAAAAAATTTTAACCTCAAGAATAGGGTTTAAAGGCATCTCATTTCTTCTAGATAGATTCTTAACTTTCTGACATCGATCACATTTTTGAACAAACAAGTGTGCATCACTAAATAGAGTGGGTCAATAAAACCTAGATTGAAGCACTTTTGCTACTGTTCTTTATCCATCAAAATGTCTACCATAATCAAAATAATGATAATATCTTAGTGTATCTTCAACTTCTTCCAAAGGGACACATTGCTTTAAAATTTGATCTTTACATTGCTTGAACAATTCCAATCATAATATCTGACATCATGCAAAAATTTCTCCTTTCGATGGAATTACAACTTAGGGGGTAATGTGGAGACTTGTACCAAACTTGCGACGTATTGTCTGATTTGACATTAAATCTTACGGTATTGTCCCAAAAAAAGTACCTCACAAGTTTGGATTTAAGCCTTTACTTATATAGCATAGTATATTCTTAAAGTCTTTTAATGTGGATTAGGGTGTCACAAACTTTTCATGTTAAAACTTGACAGGGACACAAACCATATAAATTTACTGAATCACACTGAACGTTAGACAAGCCTAACATAAAATACACACAGATCATAGGATCACACCTGATATTGAGATTCTAAAAGTGGCTCATACTGTGTAACACTTAGCTTTCGTCTGACTAGTATCATTCTAATACTATTTGTGAAGACCCATACCCAACTTGTAAGGTATTCTCCACTTTAACCCGAAGAGCTTATTATTTTATCCTATAAAAGGTGACTCACAAGTTTGGGTTAAACCTCTACTTATATATTATTACAGATCCTTAGAGTCTTCCAATATGGGATTAGGGTCTCATAGGTAAAACTCCTTTAATAAGATAATTCACATAATTTGTATAACAAGGCCAATTGTTATGCCTTAACGCTATCAACTACTCATGAAAGAAGCTTTCATTACTACTTAACCCGACTGCCGTTGTCTAACCTAGAAAGATGGTTAGCCACATGGTTCTTCGATCCTTTATTAACCCTATAAACACCTAATTTCATTCGAGTAATTTTCAGTGATTTGTGAAGCCCTTAAAATCCAACCTGATTCAAATCCAACACTTTTTTAATTTTGACAAGTCTCTAAAATTAAAATTTTAACCAATTTGGCCTAATGTCCTGAGGTCAAATCAGGTCAAACTTAGTCAATTTTGGTCAAATTATGTCAAACTTGGTCAAAATGATCAAAACGGATTACACTTGGGTCAACTTTCACAAGTCACAACCAATTAGAATCAATGTGGTTTTTAATTGAAATTTATGACTTGTAAAGCTTTAAAAAAATTTTACGCACTTCGAAAAATGTAAAATTATCAAAATACGCTTAAGGATATTTTTATAATTTGGCCTTTTCAAAGTTTAATTTTTATGAAAACTTTCAGATCATAATTGAACATTGTTTTATGATTTTTGATGCATTAAAAACCCCGATCACAACCTGGAATATGTGAAATCACAAAAATACCCTTTAGGGGTATTTTCATAAATTTACCTTCACCAGGTCAAAATTTCACAAAAATCTTTAAATCACGATTTTATATTATTTAATGGTTTTTAGAATATAGAAAACCTTGATCGTAGCTTAAAATGTGTGAAATCACTAAAATATCTTTAGGGGTAATTTTGTAATTTGACTTTCTCAATGTTAATTTTTTCCAAAACTTCTCAAATCATGTTTTTATAATAATTGATAATTTTTGATGCATTAAAAACCACAGCAATATATCAAAAAGTGTAAAATTATCAAAATACCCTTTAGAGATAATTTTGTAATTTGGTATTTCTCGAAGTTCGATGTCGTAATAGTTTAAGGGCCATTAGATGAATTTAGAAATAAAAGGAGTTGCCACCAATCTTTTTTGACTAGGTGTGATTGGCCACTTTTAAAGTGTATCTTTTAAATAAAATAATAAACCGAGTTTAAAATTTATTAAAAAGATAATTTTTGGTCTACGAAAACAAAACTGGGTTTGAAAGTCGGTTATGCATGGAGAATAATTAGCATCCACATAATGCCCATTAAAATTGGTACTAATTGTTCACATGTCATCCTTACTATTAATAAAAATGGTGTTAATCTTAATATTTTAAAAAATGATTCCTTCAAAAATTTTTTATGAAAAATCCCTTTTGTTATCTTTTATTTAAGAATAAGATGAAAGACTTTAGTATTAAAATATTTTCTAATTTTTCAATATCTACATAGAATTTTGAAGAATATTTCTTTTCTTGGGACTTTCATACTAATTCTTAAAAAATTTCATAAAATATTCTTTTATAAAGACTAATTATTAAGAAGCCTTCCAATATTTAAGCAGAATCTTAAAAATTACTTTTTCATAGGAAAATTATTATTATTATTTAAACAACTTTTCCAAAAAAAGCCCACAATTTGTTAAATTTTAAATGAAATGTAGGCAAATACCATATGGAGCAGATGTATGACATGAATGTAAATTAAATACAAAAAATCAATTAAAGTTATCAAATACATATTTAAATTTTTTTTTAATCCATTTTTATAAAAAAACCTCTTATTTAGAAATAAGATGAAAATCTTTGGTATCGAAATATTTTCTAATTCTCCAATATCTAGGTAGAACTTCAAAGAACACTTTGCTACTTAGAATTCTCTTAATATTTCTTAAAATCAAACTTAATATTCCTTTATGAAAAGTAATTATTGAAAAGCCCTCCAATATTTAGACAAGGTTTAAATGATTATTTTTCATGTAGGAATATTAACCATTATTTGTAAAAAAAAAATATTAATCTTCAAAATTTATAAATTAGCAATTCACATTATTGTTTCCAGTTATAATGTAACAGGGAATAAGTAAAGGATGTGAATACAACAATTAATTAGCTTGACCTAACCTATATGCATTTAATCTTATACTTTTGTCATGAATTTTTTGAAAGAAAATCAAGGGTGAAATAAGTTTTATTATTATTTACTTATTTTAGTGAAAGAAAATTTCTTTTAATTCCTCAATATCTAGCATAATTTGAGAAACTTAATTTTTCAAAATATGATTTGAATTCTTTTCAATATTTAGGCATAGTTTCCAAAATCATTTTTACTTAAAAATACTATCTTATATTTTTATTTTCCAAACAATAATAATAATATTCCACTATATACATTATATATATATAAAAAAAAAACATTAACACAAGCATTTACTTTTTTATTCAAGTCAAGATTTTTAAAAATTTGAAACATAAAAGTAGCAAGCCCATAATATAATAAAATAATATACCTCACTTGGGTTTTCAACCCAAAACCAAAGATCAAGGGTCGAATCGTTGATGGATTGCAGGTTAAGTGAGTTTGGCTTGGTGGATATGGGTCACAGGTTGGGTTTAGATGAAGGGCATCTAACAACACAAGGAAAGTAAAAATTAGTGACAGTTTTTTAGTGACCTTTCACTAATAAATAACGCTAACTTTCATGTTTTTATAAAAATCACTATATTTTTTATCAAAACATCATGAAATTTTTAAATAGCGACATTTTTATTGACAAACGCCATTAAATATAAGAATTAGCAGCATTTATTTGCTACAATGCCATAATGTAAAATAACAAAATTTATTAAATATAAATATAATTATATGAACAAATTGTTCTTTAAACTTTTTTAGTGGTGATTTTAGGAAAAACGCCACTAATTGAAAGATTTAATGGTGTTTTAATTAATAAACGCCACCATATTGGATCCCAAAATGAAAAAAGCGCATCCAGGAAAGATTTAGTGGCAATTGAACGAATAAATGCTGGTAGAAATTAGTGGCGTTTTAAAATAAACGCCACTAATTTTTCCCTAAAATGAAACCCAGGTTTCCTTTTGTTCTTTGCTCTTGATTTCCTTTCCTTTCCCAAGCTTCTTTCTTCTCTGCAAACCTAGGTCATTTGTTTCATTTTTACTTTCGATTCCTTTCCTTTTCGTGCCGTTTCCAATGGGTTGTCTTTGTTTTCGATCTGATTCCTTTTCCTTTTCCAATTTGTTTCGAATCCCACCCTAAACTAAACCTTCGAGAGCCTTGCCGTTCATTTGTCGCTACCGTTCCCATTGCTAGCGTTCATCTCCCTTTTCCTTCCATCTACAACATTGGTTTAAGGTTAGTAACTGAACATGTATTTTGTGCTTATTTTCAAATTTTTGTAATTTTTAATATTAATTTTTATGGTTAATATTATTTTCAATCCCATGAAAAGTTGGTTGATATTACTCAATTATTTTGATTAAACATGTCTTCAAGAAACTTGTGATAGGACATTGATGCTTGTTCAAATTAAAGGGGAAGAAGACTACACTTACTAATAAAATCTGCTCTTGTCAACCTTTATGCTTTTTTTTTTTAGAACAAAAAGAGAAAATCTATTAATCTACATATTTTTTTAATTATAGGTCCAGGATTTGAAGGGCAGTGCTATGGAGTTGAAGTCGATATTGGAGATGTATAGACATGAATTTATTGATTCAAGGTTAGGTTATTTACAAAAGATGCTTTCTTTTATTTTATTTTGTAGTGAATTCACGTCTAATTTGATACATTGAAGTTGGCTTTATTTCCCGTAGAATATGCTGGATATCTAAGCAACGTTTTGACAAATCTCTCTCACAAAATTTCTCTCCTTTATTGCTGTTTAAATCTGCTGTTTGGGGTTGACTTATTGTCATTGTCCATTGGTGGAAACTCCAGAGATTACTTCTAAGATGCGATAGTAATCGGGCATTTCATGCCATGAAGAAAGGCATCTTGACAAGCAGTTCCGTGGGAAATTCTGGGCTGAAATTCTATTCCATTCATAATGGGGCTCCTTGGATTTTGACTGTTGGTGCTAGTGCTACGGGCAAAAAGTTTCAGACTGCAGTTACAATTGGTAAGCAAATGGAAACTTCGGTTACCATCTTTCTCATCATGAAATTGCATTCCAAGACTCACTTAAATTTCAATATATGTTACCCGACCTCAAATGTGATGTTCAACTCGAACATTATCATCCTGCATACATTTGAGATGATGGAACAAATGTTCAATTATGCCATATAAAGCTAAAGTGTTCAATAGTCTGATTATTCAATTATATTCACATGAAATAAATGTTATAAAGTGTTCAATAGTGTGACAAAATATCAATACTCATGCTCTTATTGTTATATTAATAGCATATTGATCCTTGTCTCTGAACTTGCTGGTTCTTAAATTTTGCTTTAACAAGGGGTTTCTTTGAATACCTTCAACCTCAAAAGGAAATTGTATCCTCTCACCAGTGGAGCAAAAGCAAGCGCAAATGACTTTAAAATCAAAAGAAAAAATCTCCCCCCTTTCTTTTTTATCAAGTTCGGTTGGTAACGGTATTGTTACATAATTTGTCTCTACCTAAATGTGAAGCTTTATTGTAGTCATGACTCGTGAATAAGGACCCGATCATTGAAGTCTATGGCTTTTATGTGAGCTAAGAAATCCCATCTTAATGTAGTTGATTGAACCCATTTAGATCCTCTCCTATATTCTTTTCTGCACTTGATATTGCGAGGTTTTTATGCATCTGCACTTGGAATTGTCTGACATAAGTTCAGGTGCATTTTTTGTGCGACCTTAGTGGCTCATTTCCTCCCTGCTGGTTCCACATTTTAGGTTTTTCCTTAAGCCTTCTCTAGAACCTCTGGACTATACCTTTGCTGATTGTTCCATCTCAAAATTTTTGCTATAAGTTTTTTTACCTTTTCAGGTTGCTACAATTTAATCAATGCTTGCAGTAGTGTACATGAGAATATTCCTTGAGGAAAGTATACAAAATCAAGTTGATTGTATAACACAACCAATCTTGAAAGAAAGGGAATATGTGATTCAAAAGGATGGTAATACACCTAGAAAGATGTTAGTATCCAAGAAAATTCCATCCGTGGGAGATATTATTTGCTTGCTGAAGAGCAGGTAAGGCTTGCTATAGTAATATTTTCCTAGCACTTTGGCCTATTCTCGAAACTGGTAAAGTTAGGCTATCATTTTAATGTAGTGAATGTATAAGTTGTTTTCATGACCAAATACTTACAATAATTTGGTGTAATTGTGTTATTATTAATGTTTGAAATGACTAATAAAGTTTTAATTTTAGTATATCATTTTCCCAAGCACAGTTGTTGCTTTCTTCAATAGTATTGCAGAGGGTGGGATGATATCTTCATCAATGGTATGACTTCCTTTCTAATTGTGAAATTATGTCCTTTACCAAATAGAAGCTTGAGATAAGTTTTTTGATCGCATGATCCAAATAGATATAGATGAAAATGAAAAAATCAATGACTCAGAAGCAAACTCAAAGAAATGAACAAGCAAACTAAAACAAAAAATTAATAGAGTAGCAAACCAATAGCATGAAAATAAATTAAACAAAAATTTAAAACACTTGATTCAAGTAACAAAGTGCCACCTAGTTGAATGTTCAACCTAGAAGCAACCTTGTACCATCCTAATCAACCTTTAAACAGCCATGAAAAATCAAAGAAACAACAACCTAAAGCAAACATCAAAATCTGGAAATTAGGTTCTGGACAACATCTGATTAAAATTAAGTTTCCACTCTCATTTGATAGTATTTGATCTCTTAATTTTTTGTGGAAGCAACTACCTAATATGTGAACATGCACATAAATTTTCAAGAGCATTGGACATCATTTAGTACTTGAAATTTAACCAAAACCATAGTGAAACAAAATCTGGAATTTCAGCTTGGAAAACAGAACAGCTCTACTAAATGTTAGATCTAGTTTGAAATATATGGAATTTTGCTCTCAAATTTTATAAAGCTTAGATAACTCATAGATGAACAAGTACTAAAAAGGTTGATACAAATTGAAACTGAATTGGACTTTAAAAGTAACAAAAACCGAAACAAAATAAAATATGAAAACAGAATAACATTCTGGAAACAGCTTTTAAAAAAAATTAAATTTGCTAGCTCAATTAGAACTATTTGATCAAGAGGAAGCACCGTAAATCAACCTAACAAGTAGAGGAACAACATATAAAAGGCTCCTGATTTGTTGAAACTGAAATCAACTTGAAAATTAATTAAATATTAGCTAACATCAAACCTGGAAACTCAAAAACTGTGTTGAATACAAATTGAAATTGTAACCTTAAATGGAAAATGTTTGCTTAAAGGAACTAAAGTAGAGCTAAATAACAAGTAAAGGAATGTAAAAGAAACTTAAAATAAATTTAAAACAAAAGGAAAAACAAAGAACAGAGACTGAATGGCCAATAACATAGCAGCTATGGAACTGCCAGCACTTGGAGTTCCAGCCAGGAAAAAAAATGCTGAGGAATGTATGAAAAGGGGGCTCTTCTATAGCTGAATGACAACCTTTTTTAATGTTTGATCCCAGCTTTAATGCAATCTCAACCTTCAAAAATGCCAAGTCAGCTCAGGGATATTTTGGAAGATAGACAGTTGCCCATAACCGGTTCAGCACTAGCTGAAATTTCCCGCTAGCTTCCTCCCCCATGTGCTGCTTGTTTTGCCAGTCAAATGAGGTGTATTATTAGCTTCCCATTTGAGTTGAGTTGTCATCCTTCTAAAGTCTTCAAAAGTTGCATTTTGAGCTGTCCAAATTGACCAAACACTAGTTGGCAACAAATCTTGATAAAGTTGGCAACATTTTTAGTTCAACTTGGTGTAAGTCTTCATCCAAAATTTGAGCAAGAGAATTTGTAACATATGGGGACTTTTTGTGCATAAGCAGTTGGCCTTTTCCTTTTTTTTTTCTTTTTCTTTTTTTACGTGCATTTGTTTGGAAGAGCTTACTTATTACATCAAAGACTATGGAAGCCATGTGCACACTACCGACATCTTTTTCGTAGTTGCAGTAGGTATTGACTTTGAGCTACTATGCTAGTGGTGTTTCCCTCCATTTGCAGCCCATGTGATGACATCTTAAGTGGACCTATGATAATTCTATAAAAAATAAAATTATAAAATAGTAGTTGCAAATTGATGATGCTTCCATAACTTTGTGAATGGTAATATTGACTAGTTTCTGATGCTTTTAGATTTCAAATATTGAGAGAACTAATACCAAACACTGATCAAAAGAGAGATACAGCTTCATTCCTGCAAGAGGGATGTCATGAATCTCGAAATGAAAAATGTCATACCATATTATTTATCTAACTATTTACCTTTCGAAAAAATTTTGCTTTAAACATTTCTTGATTGGAACAATGTTCTTTTGTAGATGATAGAGTATGCCCAATATTTACAAGAAAGAGTTAAAAAATATGAGGGTTCATACCATGGATGGAGTTCTCAGCCCACAAAATTCAAAAGCCATGGGTATGTTTTTATTTTGAATGCTTTCTATTTTAAGGTTTAAATAATGTGTTCTTTCTTTTTTTTTTTTATGGCTTAAGCAGTTAATTTGTGGCTTAAAAGGCATGCTTGTGATGAATTGTGTATATCCTTCTCATTAAGTTATTAGGTATTCTATGATTTTGTTTTTCTTATTATTATTTTCAAGTGGAAAATTCAGTTTCATTAGGCTTGTTAAGTATAAAATTGATTAAAATCTTTGGAGGATCAAAAAATTGCTTAAATAATATTTTTCCATACAGTTGTGGAATCTTTTGCACTAGTTTTTCGACTATCGGGGTTATTCAATCTATAAGAAAAAACTTGTGGATCAACGAAACATTTGCTATGATATTTATGTCAAAAGTCTTAGTTCTTATTGATTGTCAATTACTTTCTATGTGTTTTGCTCACTCCTTAAAGTTCCTTCTTATTACAGAATGGCAAGCCAACCGACCATGAACAATGTAAAGCCTCTGACAATACAGATCCAAGGATAGCTTCTTGCTTAGAAGAGTGGTTGTTGCTCTTCCTAAAAACTTAGTGATGTATTAGGAAGCTATTTTTCTTTTGCAATATGTTGCCTCTTATGGCTTGTAAGATTATATGTAACTCATCAATGGCAAATTTATTTGTTCTTGTTCATTTCTACACACTTGTTCATGTGAAAGGCTTGTACAATGTATGATTGTTGATTTAATAATAATGTTCTTTGCTTTCTCATACCAAGTATTCTTTTAGTGTAGCTGTTACAATATTTCAAAATGAAAAAATTTGTGTTTTTATTTAGATATTTAAACATTTATAATATCCTATTTATAGATTTAAATTTGTTTTTATTTCTTTCGATAATTTTTTATTTAATTATAATAGCAAATATTGAAAGAAATTTAAAAAAGTAAATTTCTTAATTTAACGGCGCTTGTAATAAAAAACTGTTAAATTACAAAATTAGCAATGTTTGTGTCCAAAAGCGTTACTAAATTTGGCAGCATTTTTTGACATAAAAACAATGTAAATGAGAGACACTTAAGTTAATTCAAGATTTTTTCACTTAAGTAAACAAAAGACATATAACTGATCAATGTAGTTTCTAGTAAATGAGAGACATTTGAGTCAATTCAAGATTTTTTTTTATTTGTTTGTTTTGATTGAACTTGGCACTAAAACCAAGCTACCTATATACCTTTAAAAGAGAAGGATTAAGTCATCACATAGTTCAATTTTTTTTTTTTTTTTTGCCTTTAACTTTTGCCTAAGTTATCTTTTGCAGGATTTTCCAACTTAGCATGAATATATATATATATATATATATTGTTTTGTGTCCTAACTTTTACCTAAGTTGTCCTTTGTAGGATTCTTAACTTAGCAGAAATCTTAACTCAGTAGTCTTTTTTGATAGAGCAATTTAGGCTCTTGTCTATGAGCAACATTTTTTTGTGCAATTTAAGCTTGAACTTAGGAACAACATGAGCATTTTAGATTTGTGCTTAAGAGCAATATGAATAGTTTAGGATTTTGCTTGGGAAAAACAATTTTCAAGCATAGTATTGCTTCAGAAACTTGTCATTGATTGGCCTAACTCTTACTCCATCTTGATCAACAATATTATATGCACCATTGCTATCAGCTTCTCAAACAATATATGATCCATCTCAGTTTAAAAGGAACTTATTGCCAATGCGATGTGAAGTATTTATTGGTCTTTTTACAACAAGGACTAGGCCTTCAGCTGAAATTATTATAGCTTAACTTTCTTGTCAAAAGCTTTGGATAATTGAGCCTAATAACATTTCAAATGTTGTTAAGCTTCCAACTTTTTCTCATCCAATAATTCTAATGCTTTCAAATGAAGAAACCTTCTTGGATTGTAATTTTCAATGATGGAGTTTAATGTTCAAGCAGAAGGATAGCTTCTACACCATAAAAAGGCAAATATAAAGTGGCTTGAGTTAGTGTGCGATATGTAGTTCTAAGCTTATAAAGCTTTTCCCAATCTTTTATGCCAATATTTTTTCAAATGATTAGTCACTTTTTTTAAAAGATTGCACAAAGTCTTGTTAAAAGCTTATGCTAACCCATTTGCATGAACATGGTACATTGAAGAATGATACAACTTGATATCAAACTATGCACATAATTTATTCATATTGAACTATTTTCCATTATCAATTATGATGTACTGAGATACTCCATAACAATAAATGGTGTTTCTTCTAATGAAAGTCGTAATAGTTTCTTTCTTTAGTTCTTTGTAAAGTGTAGCTTCTGCCCATTTTGAAAAGTAATATGTAGTAGCCAGTATATATAAATGTCTTATAGCACTATTTGGTAATGGTCTCACCAAATCAATTCCCTACACATCAAATGGCCAAGATACAATGGTCAGATGCAATGGCTCAGGAGATTGATGGATGTAATTAGCATGAAATTGACAAGCTTGACATTTCTTGGTATAATCCATACAATCTTTTACCATTGTTGGCCAATAGTATCCCATCCCTTTAATTGGAAAAAAGAAACTTAGCTCCAGATTGATGTGCACCACAAATTCTAAAATAAATTTCTTGTAAAGCTCTAAAAGCTTCATTTTCTCCTAAACAGTGAAGAAAAACTCCATTAATAGAACGTTGATAAAATGTGCCCTTGAAGTAGATAAATCGAAGAGCTCGATGTCTCACTTTTGCTCTATGCCTTAGATCGTAGGGTAACTTTCCATCTTTTAAGTAATCAATCAATAGTTGTCTCCAATCTTTTTTCTCAACTTTGAAGACTGACACAACATTGGTATCATTATCTTTATCAAAAGTGATTGGTAGTAAAACCCAACACTTACAAAGAGAAATTTTCACTTCTATACTTGGCAACACAAGTGTTTATGCTAGATTAGTTAAAGAATCTACTTACCTATTTTCCCTTCTTGTCATATGCTCTAAACTGACATTGTCAAACCATTCCAAAAACTTTTTCACATAGTTGACATATGGTAGAACTTTGAACTTCTTTACTTCATAAAGTAAAAGGATTTCATTAATAACTAACTTTGAATCTCCAAAGACTTTCAATTGAATGATCTTCATGTCCATTGCCATTTCTAATCCAATGATCAAAGCTTGGTACTTGGCCATATTATTTGGACAATTTTCAATTAGAGTGAATGCATAAAGCAAGTTTTCTTCCTTTAAAGTGACAAAGATAATGCTTGCTCTAGCTCTATATCGATGTGCAACTTCATCAAAGAATAGTTTTCATGGTCTAGGAATTTCAATGAAAAGAACATCTTCATCTAGATAAACTTTCAAAAATTTTCAATTATATGAGATTGGATGATCTACAAGAAAGTCAGCAAAAGCTTGTTCTTTAATAGCTTTTTGGGGAACATTAGTGATGTCAAACTCTTGTAGCAAAAGAACCCATTTTGCTAATCTTCCACTAAGTATTAACTTAGACATCAAATATGTAAGGGAAATTACTTGTAAAATTAAACATATAGAATGAGCTTGCAAGTAATGCCTCAATTTTTTTAATTGCAAACATTAATGCCAAGCATGTCTTCTCAATAGAAGAATAATTTAATTTAGCACCATTTAGGTTTCTACTAAGGTTGTAAAGTGTTGCTTCTTTTCCTTCATCACTTTTTTAGGCCAAAAGTGCTCCTAAAGATCATTCTTATACAGTAATATCAAAGATCGAAGGTCATTTTGGTATAGGGGCTTTCAAAATAAGGGCCTTAACAAGTAAGCTTTAATGCTTTTAAAAACAATACTACAAGTCTTGTTCTAAATAAAAAGAACATCTTTCTTCATCAAACGACTGAATAGTTGATATCGGCCTGCCAAATTTGATATATAGCATCAGATATAAGCCAATCTCCCTTGTAAACTTTTGAGTTCATGAAGATTATGAGGTTCTAGCATCTTTATAATGGCTTTTATATTTTATTGATAAATCTTAATCCCACGATGCCTTGCATTGAATCCTAAAAACTTCCTTGAAGATACTTTAAAAGCACATTTTAAGGGATTCATCCTTGATTGATACCTATAAAGCTTTTTAAACACTTGATAGAGAACAGTAATATGATTGGCTTTTCTTTTTTTTTTATTTCATTACCATGTCATCAACATAGCATTCAACATTCTTATGAAGCATGTCATTAAAAATCTCTTACATTGCTCTTTGATAAGTAACACCTGCTTTTTTTAGCCCAAAACGCATAACTTTATAATAGTATATTCCTTTTGACGTTCAGAATGCAGTGAACTTTTCATCCTTTAGAGCCATGCTAATTTGATTATAGCAGATGACCCATCCATAAAAGATAAAGCTTCATGGTAGTAGTTGCATAACCTTATAATAGTATATTCCCTTTGACGTTCAGAATGTAGTGAACTTTTCATCCTTTAGAGCCATGCTAATTTGATTATAGCAGATGACCCATCCATAAAAGATAAAGCTTCATGGTGGTTGTTGTATCAACCATTATTTTTGTCAAAATAAGAAGAAAATCATCCTTTGGATAAGCATTGTTCAAATCTTAAAAATCCATGAAAACTCAAATTTATCTATTTTTTTTAACTAGAACAATATTTGAGATCCAGGTAGGGTACTTGACTTCTTTAATAAAGCTAACTTCAATAAGTTTATTGGCTTCAACTTTAATCTAAAGAATTAAGCCAAGATGAAAATGACATTGAGCTTGTTTAATAGGTCAAATGCTTTTCTTACCAAGTAGATGATGCACAACAACTTTCAGATCAAGTTCGAGCATCTTCTTGTATATCCAAGCAAAGATGTCTCAATATTTTATCAAAAGATCAATGTGAGCATTTTCCTCTTCAAGGGACATAAAAGCATTAATGAAGATTAGATGAGAATCTTTATTAGTGTCGATATTGACTTCTTTTAGCTCATTAATTTTAGCTTGATTTCCCTTTTTAAATGGTGAAAAAGCTTTTTGGGCATCTTTTTTCTCAGATTTTTCATCGATTTCTTCTATGGAAACATGATTAGAAGTAAAGATTTTCATATCTTCAAACTCTTCCTTATTTGGAGATGGAATCTTCTTGGTTGTTACCATCATGTGCTTTCTAACCTTCAATGATTCACCAATAGTTACCACCCATTTGCTTTTTCTTTTCATTTGAGAAAGAATCTTACTAGAAAAATCCTTAGACTCATCCATGGTAGGAGCTTTACTTTTTAATTTATGCACCACCTTTATGAAGTTTGGATGTTTAAGTCTTACATGAGCAATAACATGCTTTCTCATAGAAGTTTCATTGTCCTTTTTCCCCATTCACTCAAAAACTAAATTGCGAGGTAATTGCGTGCTCAAACGATCAATGACTGAACTTTATGTTGGTTGCATACCCAAATGATAAAAAACTGATGACCTCAATAACTCAACTAAATTTTCTTGCTCATCATAAACTTTTTCCACATTTATGCATCTTGAAGCTTCTTCATGAATCTTCAATTTTGATAGAGAAGATTCAAGCCCAACCTTTGAAGTTCTAACATGATCAGTCTTTTTTAACCAAACTTGTCAGATCCTGATTGAACTTTGAGAAATTTCTTCAGTTGGCTTGTCTATTTTGTGAACCAATTTTGAAATATCCTTTTTCTTGTATCCAATTTTAACAAAAAGTCTGTAGGTATTAGGATCAAAACCCTTAGCGTGATGTGGGGGTAATTCATCGTGTTCAACAATAAGTCCATCTAATGGCCTTACAAATCATTTAAATAGAGGTTTAGAAACTTTTGAGTCTTCTAAGCTAGTAAGAGAAAAAGTCAAATTCTTTAAACCTTGAGTAATTTCATCATGTCCATAGCTGGTAGAAGGACCCCTTTTTCCTTTTTGTTTTGACTCCTTCACATTGATATTTTATTGGTTTGAAAGTATTTATTCTATGAAAGCATTTTCAAATAAAACTTAGCATCAGTGAAATGAGCCTCCGCGATAAAAAATGGCTTAAAATTTGTAACAATTGTCTTTGCTTGACTATTTCTACTATACTTCAAACATTGGTGAAGAGTTGAAGAAACTACACCATTTTAATGTATCCACGATCACCCTAATAACATATTATATGTTGTCTTAGCATTAATCACATGGAATAATGGAATTGATTCCATATCACCAATAAAAAGTTAAAGTTTGAGCTTTTCAAGAGCCCTTTACCCTCATTGATTGAATCCATGAATCATCAAGCAAAGTTATGATAATTAATCCAAAGGAATTCCAAGTTCCTTCATTATTTTAAATGGAAGGATACTAATGGCAAATCCATAATCTATTATGATCATATTGATCCTTTGCTCATAAACATATCCAATAATAAATAGTCGTCGATTGTGCAGAGTAGATCTTAATAACAAATCATCATCAAAACAATTGATCTTTATAGCATAACAATGACCAATTTCAAATGCTATGTTGTCAATGTTGTTGTCATTATTTTCCACTTCCTCACTAACATTATAACAAGTCATGTAAACCAAAATTTCTCTTTTAAATTGAATTGGCACGTATTCATTCAAAGTGATTGGCTTTCTTAACTTTTTTGGTTTCAAGTTTTCATGCCTGGATAGAATTGCTTTTGTTTGGATCACTTTTAGTGTTGGCTTCTTGAGTGGTTGCTTGACCATCTTAGCTTTTGTTGTCACTCGAATAGGCTTTTGTAGATTTTTTTTTTACTTCTTTGACATGTAACTAAGGTCCAACCATCATTATCTTGATTTTCAATTTGAGGATGAGCATTGCCCCCATTCTTTTGAAGACTAATTGTGCTTGGAACTAGTATAATAGGGTTAAACGAACTAAATTTAATGGTTGTAATCAAAGGTAGTAAGATGGGGTCAAAAGAACCAATTTGATAGTCCTACCTAAAAAGTTGGATTAAGAAGCTATATACATTAATGCCAAGTTTGATGTCACAACTTCTTCTTCAAATTCAATTTTTCCATCATCATGAAGTTGCATGATTTTGTCTTTTAAAACAAAGCATTTCTCCAATGGATGACTAATCAAATGGTGATACTTGCAATAGTTGGGGTCATCCACTTTATCAATTTTCTTAGGTCACTTTATTTTCAACAAATGGATTAGTTTGGACTTCAAGAGTTCAACCAAAATGCTTGAAACATCTTAATTGGGAAAATGATACTTTTTTTTTTTTATCTTTCCTTCAGTGAGATTCTACTTCTACCTTTGTCTTAAGAATGAGTAGGTTTTACCTTTTTGAAGGTCTTAGCCTTAATACCTTAGAGATTATACCGTAATCCCTAATTCATGCCTTGTATACACATTTTAAGAGCAGATGACTCAAATAGTCTTTCTTTGTAATTAAGGCTTAAATTTCTTCATCTCTGAATATAATCAATCACCAGTTCATCTTTCCATTAGATCATGCTAACTATACGATGAGTGCTATGGAGTCAATTGAGAAGTTCAAGCTTAATTTGTTCCCAACTATCAATTGTGCCAAGCTTAAGATTGGTATACTAATTAAAGGCATTGCCTTTCAAAGAGCGAACAACTTGTTTCACTAAAAGATAACCATTAATGCCAGCATTATTGCAAGTTTCCACGAAATGGGCAACATGTTAGCATGGGTTTTCTTTGCCATTAAACTGTTGAAACTTTGGAGGTTGGTAATTCTCAGGCATCCTTAAATGATCACTCCTTTAAGAATATGGCATAGCATATGTGTATACAGGTTGTGTAACACTTTAAAACTTGATATTTGATTGCTTCTTTCATAAAATATTTGAGTTGACTAGCAGTAACAACCTCATTGAGGTTTTGTTGAGAATCCTTGGAATTTTCACATTGAAATTCTCACCATCCTTTTGAATGATTGAATTATGATTTTGATCTAAAGTTCTTGGTCACTTTCCAATAAGATTGCTAATCTTCACCATCACGATAGAAATCTAGTTATCTTTTTCTCTAATGCTTATTGGCAAAGTTTCAACAGTTTTTGAAAGAAGCACAACTTGTTCTTCCAATGATGTGGTGCCAGTTATCATGACATTCATTGCTCCAGAAACAATTTTTGAAGGAAATGATGAAGTAGCGCTACTATTTGTACTTGATCCATGAAGTGAAGTAGGCTTCTAAGAGGAAGATTCCTCTAATCCTTGAAAATAAGTGTTATAGAGTGGGTTTTGACTAAGCACTAGAAGAATTTGAGCATAAATTTCTTCAAGAGCATTTGTCTTGCCATATGAGTGGGTAGCTACATCAGTAGTTGGTGAAAAGCTAAGGAAGATTGCAGGATTTGCTCGAGTAAGCTTGAGAGTTGGCTTGTTGGCAGAGTTCTTTTTGGGAGCCATTGCAGCTTAAACACTTGAATTTTGAAGAAAAGTGATAAAAGGCAGAGATTGTCCTACTGGGCATGTCAAAAATTTGTATGCACAAATTTCATATCGAAAATATTATAAGAAAAATTGGTGACAAATAGCAAATTTATTTAGCAAACGTGTGGAAATTACAATCTTGGGGAATTTTAATTACAAAGAAAATCCTCTGATTCTTTTCTTCAGTAAAAATCCACTTCAAAGGCCAAGTAGACTTGATCTTGATTGCTTTAAGGGTCGTTAAGACTTGTTCTTGAATGCTTCAAGAGTCTTGTTGACTTGATCTTGAATAAACATAATTGATCTCCTTCTTTTAGAGGGAATGAGATCAAAAAGTAATATCTTGACAATTCTTGGAACCAAATGCTTTATTCTTCGAGTTCTTCAAATTTTCTTCAACTCTTTAGAGCTTATTTTGTTGAGACTTTGGAGAGGATTTGGGGTATTCAAAATCTTCTTCTTTTCAAAATTCTGAATTTTGAATTATATTTATAGTGCCTGCCTATCAGATGAGAGAGAGTATCAAAGGAACTCAACCTTTTTTATTTTATCTCTAAATAGCTATAGTTCAATTAAAAATAAAAACTATTGAATTATTGGTGAAATCTGATTGGTCGGACCAAGTATTTTATCTTCAATTGACAAGTGATATATTTAATTAATCATAAAATTAATTATATAATTAATTATATAATTAATCCACATTGCAATAATTGATTTGTCACTTAAAAATTAATTAATTAATTAATTAAAAAAATTTACTACGTATGGCATTTTGTGATTGGATGAAAATTTTCTCCTTCTACAATATAATCACCCATCTGTTTAATTTATAACTTTTTGAGCTATTATCTATTTTTTTTCATTTTCAAACTCCAACAAGTGTATCATTCTTTCCGAAAGCAAGCTTCTAAAAATAGAGTAGATCATCTAATAATAGAGTAGATCATCAAGTATCTAATTTACTATGAATTGTCAAAATAATCAAGTAGTATCATTTGAAAACTTTCCCCAGACAAAGATGTAGACGAAACTGCCAAGAAAAAGGAACATAAGTAAATGGGTGAAATTTCAAGCAAATTTTCTGCTTTCCCTATTCATTGAAGTTATACAAATGGGAGCAGTTTATTGCCGTTGCACTTACATACCCGAGAAAGTTACGGAAAAAGAAATCTTCAATTATTTTTAATGGCATTATGCTGTTATCTAATCTGATCAGTGACTATAAGTGTTAGATAAAGTTGATATAAAAATTATCAAATGTGGAATTAAAATTTTACAAGATTGTGAAATTTTGCCGACTTGAATTACTGGTCGAAAATAAAATCATAAAGCAGAAATTATTCGTTATCACAAAGTAAATCCTTAACACCGATTGCAAGGAGCCTTTCAAAGAGTTAGTTGATGTTTATGCCTTTCTTAGTTTCTCCCACACGCTTATTACACATTTTCAATATGGCCGAATGCCATTTATATAGACAAGAGAAAGGAGCTTCAGTTGCACATCTATTTGAATTCAAATTCAAATAGTTAAAATTGCATGGCAGTTATCTAACAAACAAAAGTACAAAACTGCTTAAAGGCAGTACATGTATTAGTTCAAACCAAGACAAAACTTTCTTGTGGCAGTTTATGGTTTTGTCAGGTTTCACGCATTAAAAGCGGACCATGGTTGGGCAGATTTATGCTTTTATTACTTAAGCCAGGTCGTTACATTAGCAGGAAAGGAAATAACCATACAATGGGAGGACTAAAGCATAGAAGCTGGCCTCACCATGGTTGGTTTCTTGCAAGACCACTTTCTCTGCATGACTAAAACATAAACACAGAGTTTGACTACTTATTGTTCTTTTTGAGTAAGAAGCTGCTTGAACCAGTAAGCCGACATCTTTGGATAACTCTTTGGATTAGAGAAATCAACATAGACAATGCCAAACCTTGATCTCCATTCAAAATTGTCTAGTAATGACCATGCGAAGTAGCCAACTACATTTGCCCCGTCATCAACAGCCTTTTTCAATTGAGTCAAGTAATCCTTATAGTAGTTGATCCTTGTAGTGTCGTGCAATCCTTGCGCAAGTGTCACATATCCTAGATTATCGATACCTACAGAAACAAGCCAACAGTATGAGATTCAAACCAATTTAATTGTTTTTTTCCCAACTTTAACTCAGTAGAGAAACGAGGTAAAAATGTTATGAAATTTAACTAAATTCAATACCATTTTCAGACAAAATTATGGAAGGATTCCCATAGTGCTCTTTTACATACATCAGAGCCTTATACAAACCCCAAGGAACATTGTAGAGGCAATACGAATTTGCCTAAAAAGCAATAAGATAATCATATAATGTAAGCGAATCCAACATTTGTTCAAAACAAACATTTTTTTGGGTGAGGGGTTAGTGTTGGGAGATGTGATTGGCATAGACTTACTCTTGGACCAATTGGCACTCACTACAAGAAAATAAAAGATTAGTGGCAGTTTTGTAGCAATGTTTCACTTACAAATACTACTAGCTTTCGTGTTTTTATAAAACTTAAGGCGTTTATTATCAAAACGTCACTAGATATTCAAATAGCAGCATTTTTACTTATAAACACCACCCAAGACAAAAATTAGTAGTGCTTTTCGACTAAAACGCCTTGAATAATCCCTTCTAAAAAATTGAAGTGATTATTGAAGGTGTTTTTGACAAAAAAACACATTAATTAATCCCATAAAAAATGGATAGGGGATTATTGAAGGCATTTTTGACAGACAATGCCTCAAATAATCCCCTCATAAAAAATGTAGGCAATTATTGAAGGCGTTTTCTGCAAGAAATGCCTTTCATAATTCCACTAAAAAATTGTAGAAGATTATTGAAGGCGTTTTTAGTCAAAAACACCTTTAATAAATATCCTATCAAAATTTAAGGATCATACGGCTGTTAACCATAAGTTCATAGGTTCGATACCTCCCTTTAGCTTTTTTTTTTTTTTGAAGGAATTATTTGTAAATGATTATTCTAGGAGTTTTTTGGGCAAAAGTGTCTTCACCAATTCATTTAAAAAATTTTGGAGAGAGAATATTGAAAGCATTTTTGGAAGAAAAATGCCTTCAATAATCCATAGAAAAAATTTGGAACGAATTCTTGAAGGCATTTTTGGTTGAAAGCGCCTTCAATAATCCATATAAAAAAGTTGGAACAGATTCTTGAAGGCATTTTTAGCCTAAAACGCCTATAATAATCCACACAATAAATTTTTATGAGGGATTATTGAAGGTGATTTTGATCAAAAACGCTTTCAATAACATTTTGTTAGGGATTATTCAAGACATTTTCTGGCTAAAAATGCCTTCAGTAATCCCATAAAAAAACTTTGATTTAATTATATATGTGAAGTCAGTTATAAGTTTATGCCCAGAAAACATTTGGTTTATACAAGTGATACTACGAATTACATTTTGAAATTTACATTATGAACATTGTTGTATTTCAATAAATTGACCACACATTCGAATTTAAAATTGATAAAGTTGCCATATTAATATACTTTTCTCAAATAATCTTACCAATATATGTGTATTCATATAAAACAAATATATACCAATAATATTAAACCAATACCCCAATCTACTAACTCGAATTATCCATTCAACATGGCATATTAAAAACATTATAACAAATTATCCTCATATATTTACATTCAACCAACAATGTCCAACCTCAAGGTTTATCAATAAATGATAATACATACTCACACCATTCTTTACAAACTTCATCAAGTTCCTCTACTATGGAGCTTTCTTTATTCTTTCACTAAAAAAAAATTAGAAGTATATGTTAATAAACGAGAACATAATTTAGCTAATTTTTTTAAGATATAACGACTTTATGAAATTTATACTAACCTTGAATGGTGTGGTCATAAAATCAAACAAAACTATCACCTGCATAAAACGAAGGACATAATATTCACATTCAGTATATCCGAGTTGACAAGGTACCTAAAAATTAAATTTAGTGGGATTAAGAAACATTTATCTACACAAACTCAGCATAAAAGAATAAATTTCACATTTACCAGTAATGACACCCATTTTTTCTTTGCCTTCTTATCAAATGCAGATATTAACCTCTCTTGAAAAGAAAAAAATTACCTAATAGATAAATAAAATTACTTATGAAGAAACAGAAGATGTATAATATAATATCATGTAATACCTCTTTATAAAAGTTTGAATTTCAGGGTTAGGCATCGCTGTTGGTTGAATTGATTAAGTAAGTATGGCGTCAAAGATTTGGTATCAATCATAATAAGCTGCCAATGATGACTGAAAAATAATAAGAATGATATACTCAGATTAGGCATCATATCAGATTCGGGTAAGGTTGGAATAATTATTGTATAAATATAACTTATTGCGCATTATATGAGAGTAAATAATAATCAACCAGTTTTTCATACATTCAATCACATGATTAGCACGAAAAGCAACCACACCACTTTGCTTACTAATGAAGTTGAGGTCAATGAATCTAAATTTGTAAATCATTTTCTCGCCTTGACCTCTCTATATAGGAAACTACACGATAACAATCAATAATACTAGTTAGTAATACACCGTAATATAGATTAATACATATTGAGTTTGCATATTTGTATTTATAAGCTAACCTCATATAAGCAACAATATCAATAGATGATATTTCATCCAGTTCACAAAATTCTTTAACCTCATCCACACCAATGTAAGCAAAATGATGGTTTATCAAATAATTCTTCCTTAAACTCAATGGTTATACAGTTTTCTTTAGATAAATGATCAAGTGAATAATTAGATAACTCATCATGATAGCCTGAGTAAGGGTCAGACTTTAAGTCCCAATATCTTGCTACAATATATAATGAAATATAAGTATTAAAACCAAACCAATAAATATAATAAACAAATTAATATTAAACTTATAAACAAAATCATACTTTATGGCTGGTAGTAGAGGTTGGGTTTCTTGCCTGACTTGCAACAGAAGCTTGTCCTATATGGATGATGCTATCCAACTGCCCTACAGGCATGCTATGCTATATTACTGCCAACATGGCCTCTAAAGCAGTGAGTCTTTGTTGTTGCTTATTGTGGCATTGCTCCTGGTCATCAAGTCATTGCTGTTATTGCTCAATGATTGCTTCATATTGTGCATTTTTCATTCGAGGGGATTTGGGTTGATTATTAAAAAACTTTGATGGCAACACAAATTCACCAACCCCACGAACTTGATAGGCCTTTCTTTAACTCCTAATGCTAAAGATAATTGATCTTCGCCATACTAGATTGCCAGTTCATCAAATTTAATTTTGGCAACATAATCATCCTAAGAGATAATAATAAGATGGGCTATAACAACAAATCTATACAAGCTAGTATAGAGTCACGCATACAACCATAATACCAATCATACACGATATTAAACAAGTAGTTATACATACAATCTTTTTAATCAATTCTTTAGTTGCTTCATCTGTAAAGGATTCATCCTTTCCAGATGTTCTTATTTCCAAACATCCCATCTAGAAACTTCAGTGCTAGAGCTTACTGATTTTTAATAAATTATCATAATATAAGAATCAGAATATATGAAATGAATTTTCATAAATATTCATTTATAAGTATAACACAAGCGTGCGAATACTTATAAGTTCATACTTCATATTTGCATATCCATTTCTCGCTATCTGATGGTGATATATTTGTTTAGCCCAAATGTTCCTTTAGTTTTCTTTGATTTTCTACAAAAAAAATAAATTACGTCAATCACATATGAAGATATCGACTATATTGCATAAAATCTTATAAACAATTTTTTTGGTAATGAGTTTGCGTATTTAGAAATCTTTTGATAGTCGATCTCGAACAAAATTTCTCCAATCTTTAACATTTATTATATGACATTGGTGGAACAACCAATACATCACCTTGATCAATGAGTGGTAAAATATATTGGGTTATCAATCTGCTTTAAAGTCTCTAAATGCTTTCCCAGCAAATTACAACACAATCTTTTTACAGTCAATTGGGACGTTGAACCATTCCTAAATAATTTAACACAATTAGTATAAACACAATGAATTTCAATTAAATGATCATTTAGAAAATTTTATGAAATAGTTGAACAAACATACTGCAACTGATTGCCATATACCATCTTTTAGATCATTAGGAACTAGTTGCCAATTGGTGTACATAATTGACATGCTACTACAAATGATGGCACCAATATGAGTAGCCAACTTGGCAGCTCCATCAAACTCATGCTACCCACTTTGATTAAAGTCTACGTGAGTTTTTGTATCACTCACTTTAATTTGTTTATTTCATCCCTTTATTTTTTTTGGCCTACAAGTGTGTCTTGTGCATATTTAGGAGAATTATCTTATTCAGAGTCCATAATACCTATGATTTGATCATAATTATATGAAATACACCAAAATGACTGTCTAAATTTAACATTGTACATAATAAAATACAACCAATATCATACTACATACAAAAACACCATTTAGCAAACCAATCAACAATGTGTTCAGAAACACCATTCAGCAAACTATTCAGAAACACCATTCAACAAACTATTTAACAAACCATTCAGCAAACCAATATCATACAATACCATTCAGCAAAACAATATCATACAATACTATTCATTAAACCATAATATTTAAACAAAACTACATAAAAACACCATATATGCAATGAAAGGTGCTTGGATGACTAAGGTTATGGTGAAATGAATAAAAATATATATATGCATATATAAATAGTAAGGAACAAAAAAAATATGTTTATCGAATAACATAAATAATACAGTAAACAAAAAAATAAGGACATCGATAAACAGAGAGGTGCACACCATTGAGTTGTTGAAGGTCAGTAGTGATGATAGAGATAAAGAAACAAAAAGTCAATCTAAAAGTGTTTATGGGGTTTGGTTTGGTTCATAAATATAGCTTTTAATTGTTCTCTATACTAACAGTTTATGATTCCAATGTTTAAGACAGGTGAATGAATATAAAACTTATAAGTGAAGGCATTTTTTTGGAAAAATTACCTTCAATAATCACTTTAAAATTTCAATAATCCCCTTATTGAAGGCGTTTTTACTAAAAGATGCCTCTAATAATCCAAAAAAAATTTTAAAAGGAAATTATTGAAGGCATTTCTTCTAAAAAATGCCTTTAATAATTCTATACAAAAATTATTGAAGGGGTATGATGCAAAAAATGTCTTCAATAAATTCTTTTAAAAATTGGAGTGAATATTGAAGGTATTTTTAGTAGA